CCACTGGTTTGCGTGATACCATGTATTGTGAACAAGTACTTTATATATTTCTAAACAACAACCAACGTGAACACTCACAGCCTAGAAAAAATTTAAATACTAAGACTAAGAAAATAATAATAATAAAATAACTAATAATATTAACATACAAACATACCTTCGAACACATCTCGATATGTGATTGCAATGTATTTTTCTTCTCCATCCAAAGTCTGCCACTGTTTTGAATATTACACACAATGCCTCCAGGTGTTGCCGTTAAAAAACAGTAACTTGCAGGGCTGTGTTGCATTCTGATGAATAAGGCACTTCATTTTTCTGGTCAGAATGCCAGAAAAATGTGTCCTTGTTGACTATATACGCCATGATTGAAGGATCGGGGCTAAAAGTTTTCTTTATTTTGATTGGCCAAAATGGCACTCGGCAACAAACTTCGGAGGTTTCCAGATGAGTATTTATCTTTCGAGTTCAAGGCCGATTGCACATCGACCGAACTAGCCGTTACGTCATTGATCATAGTGCATATTCCTACGCGTGTAATGTTTATTTTTTAGGTGATTAGGTTAAAAAGAATTCCATTTTTAAAAAATAATTATTAAATACTGGCACATGCTGAATGTGTGGAGATCATGGTTTTTAAATTAGTACAAAGAGACGTGTAATTTAAAAAATTAAAATCTCCCACAGAGGTTGTTGCAACGAACTTGAACGATAAATTTCTTCGGTCTTTTGCCTATAGGGATTTTTTTGAAAAAAATAAAGTTTTATTTTACTCTAAAATGCCATAGCTGGTTCTCCGTAACTACAAGGTTGGTGAACCTCATATTTCATGTGGGATATACGGGGTACCCAATGACCAAATCTGCAAAGTTTGGTCAAAATCGCCCGACACCGCTTGTGCCGGATTTTTTAAATTTTGCATGATTCTCTCGCGAACTCATTCTTAATTGTCTGCTGCAATTTATGTTGATTATTGTTAATCAAAGACTATATAGTAATATTAACAACCAACAAGATTCCTGTCTTCATTTATTCAACCCACAAGTTTGATGAAACTTGAAATACATGTTTATAGCCCAAAGATCTTGGTTCCTTTGCATATGTGCGCATATCAGATATTAACTTCCTGAATTATGGCCCTTGACTGTTCGAAAAATCACGTTTTTAGCTTGTGGTCCCTCTAGAGTTCACAATTATTATCCGATTTAAAAAACTGTGTGAATATATCACCGTTACACCGTAATGATGGTTGAGTTCGAAATTTTTCCGATTTTGATTCAACCTTAAATTTATGCTTATATCACAAAGATCTTTGTTCCTTTCGATATTCACGTATATCTGATCGTAACTTCCTGAATTATGGCCCTTGATTGTAAGAAAAATTGCGTTTTAAGTTTGTGGTCCCTCTAGACTTAACAATTTTTATCCAATTTATAAAACCATTTGAACATATCACAGTTACACCCTAATGATGGTTGAGTTCGAATTTTGTGAAAATCGGACCAAAACTGGGGAACAAAATGGATGCCCCTCGTACCCTTATAGTGTAAAAATATGGTATATCAAGATTGTGGACTCTCTAGAGGTCACAATTTTCACCCGATTTTGATGAAACTTGAAATGCATGTTTATAACCCAACAATCTTGGCTCCTTTTGATATATGCGCATATCGGATCGTAACTTTCTGAATTGCGACCCCTGATTGTACGCAAAATTGCGTTTTTAGCTTGTGGTCCCTTTAGAGGTCACAATTATTATCTGATTAAGAAAAACGTTCGATTATATCACTGTTACACCGTATGGTTGGTTGAGTTCGAATTTCATGAAAACCGAACCAAAACTGCAAGATAAAATGGCCCCCACCCCCATATGCAAATAGTGTAAACACCTGTTATATCAAGGTTGTTGACCCTCTAGAGGTCAAAATTTTAATCCGATTTTAAAGAAACTTGAAAAGCATGTTTATAACCTACAGATCTTGGTTGCTTTTGATATTCGCGCATATCAGATCGTAACTTCCTGAATTATGTCCCCTGATTGTACGAAAAATCACATTTTAGCTTGTGAACCTTCTAGAGGTAACAATATATCACCGTTACACTGAAGTGTTGGTTGAGATCGAATTTTGTGAAAATCGGATGAAAACTGCCAGACAAAATGGCTACCCCTCTATGCAAATAGTGTAAACATCTGGTATATCAAGGTTGTGGACCCTCTGGAGGTCACAATTTTGATCGTAACTTCCTGAATTATGGCCCTTGATTGTACAAAATTTAGAGGTCACAATTTTTATCCGATTTAAAAAAAACGTGTGAATATATCACCGTTACACACTAAGATCTTGGTTCCTTTTGATAATCGTGCATATCCGAATGTGTGAATATATCACCGTTACACACTAAGATCTTGGTTCCTTTTGATAATCGCGCATATCCGAACGTAATTTCCTGGATTATGGACCCTGATTGTTCGAAAAATATCCGAACGTAATTTCCTGGATTATGGACCCTGATTGTTCGAAAAATTCCTTTTTTAGCTCGCGGATTCTCTAGAAATCACAATTGTTTTGTTCGATTTTAAAACCGTTTAAATATATCACCATTCCACCATAATGAAGGTTGAATTCAAATTTCGGTAAAATTGAAATGAAACTGCCCAACAAAATGGCCGCTCTTTGTACGCAAATTGTGTAAAAGTATGTAATACGAAGGTTGTGGACCCTCTTTGGGTTATAAACTTACATTTCAAGTTTCATCAAAATAGGATTAAATTGTGACCTCTATAGGGTCCACAAGCTAAAAACGTGATTTTTCATATAATCCATGAAGTTTCGATCCGATACATGCCAATATCGAAAGCAACCAAGATCTTTTGGAGATAAACTTATATTTCAAGTTTCACCAAAATCGGATAAGAATTGTGACCTGTAGAGTGTCCACAAACAAATTGTGGACCGACGGACAGGGGCGACGAAATCACATTATTTTTTTAGCTCGTTCTCTGTCCATCTCTTGCAAAATGTGGGCGTATCTTGCATGGCAACCGCTTGTTTTAAATTGGCTAATAATTTTTCGTACAATCAGGGGCCATAATTCAGGATGTCAATAGGAACCAAGATCTGTGAATTATAAACAGGTATTTCAAGTTTCAACAAAATCGGATCAAAATTGTGTCCTCTAGAGGGTCCACAACCTTGATTTACCATATATCTACACTATTTGCGTACGAAAAGTGGCCATTTTGTCCGGCAGTTTTGGTCTGATTTTCACGAAATTCATTACAGTGCAACAGTGATATATTCGAACGGTTTTTTTTAAATCTGATAGTAATTGTGACCTCTAGAGGGACCACAAGCTAAAAACACATTTTTCGTAAAATCAGAGGCCATAAATCAGGAAATTACGATCCGATATACGCAAATATCGAAAGGAACCGAGATCTTTATAAACATGCATTTCAAGTTTCATAAAAAATTAGATGAAAATTGTAACCTGTAGACTGTCTACAAGCTAAAAACGTGATTTTTCATAGAATCAGGGGCCATAATTCATGAAGTTATGGTCAGATATATGCCAATATCGAAAGGAACCGAGATCTTTGGGAGATAGACCTATATTGTGACCTGTAGAGTGTCCACAAACAAATTGTGGACGGACGGACAGAGGCGACAACAATATACATGAAAATGTAGGCGTATAAAATGTTAAATAGGAGACTCAACCGTTCGGTCACAGCGCAAACGATTTATTAAAATATCTAAGATTAGATCACTGTCCGATTACTCACTAGGTATTTTTTTTTTTATCAAGCTCGGTGGACTTTATCAAATCCAAACTATGATATAAGCCTAAGCAATGTTAATAAGAAAGAAAATCCGCAAAACGCTCACATTTTATCAGGGAATTCTTGAACGAAACATGGAGGTCTCATGTGAAAATATACATAGACGGATCTCACTATCAAAACAAGAACAAAACTGCGCTAGGTGTCAACATCCCTGAATCCAACCGTATTTATTAGCCCAGTGGGACGTTAAACCCTATTTCATTTCATTTCCTCAGTAATGTCAGTATAAAAGGGTTACCAGATGGATGTTCCATCTATACAGTAGAATCAACGGCAATATATCCACAGCTTTTAACTGGCTTTTATCATCAACCAATCAAAGAGCTGTCATTGTGTCAGACTCTCTTAGCAACAATGAGTCAATAATACTTAATAAAACAACATGTAGACCAGAAATTGTTCAGAATATTTGGGCAAGTGTTGATTCCCTACGAAATAAAAATAAAATCCGTAGAATTTACATAAATACCATTCCATGTCGGCATAGTAGGATATGAGTTTGCAGACAATGAGTTATCAGACGAACTCAAGGCCTGCGAGACCGAAGACTTAAAATATAGCTTCCTGGAATTTAATAGTATTCTTAAAACTAAAAATAAATCAGAATGGGCAAACGAGTTGGCAAGAGCAAATATTTTCAGACTCAAATTAAATGTAAATTTAGATGTAAAGACGAGGATCAATCACCTGTCGCGCAAAATTTGTGGATTTGTACGGAGTTAAACCCTATTTCATTTTTTTCTATCTTTCATTTTTTTCTATCCGGATTGATGATACCAAACACCAATCAGCTGGACCTCCTGTTCTACATTGACACTGTATTTTAGTGGCTTTTTTATATACAATAACTTTTCATTAATTGACCTTCTTTTAGTTTAATTACTCCCTCATATTATAAATAACCTTAATTTAATCAACCTGTCAATCATATCATGTATTACATATTGGAAGTTAAATTTGTAATAAACAACAACTGTATCAGTATTGTGGTTGTTAACGACAAGATATTCCTTGTAAAAACGTAGCTCCGATTAAAAATACATTATTTTAATTTAAATGCAAACAATCTAAAACTTCTATAATATTAACTAGCTCAAAATGTTTATATAGAAGTATTTATCAATTTTCTTTGTGGCCATTGTCATACATTTTTCAAATGGCTTGACTACCATTTCTATAGACCAAACAAAATATATAATTCAGCACAAATAAAGTTGAACTTACACTTTTAGAGTGATGATTTTATCTGTACCACTTTCTGATGTTTTATTTGTTTCATCCTCCTTGCCCTGAAATAAAACACCCATATATATTCAACTTGGATATTAAGATTAACGTATAGATCTTTTTACAATATATATAATAGTATTGAGAGTACAAATATATCTAGAATAATACATGGACCTTATATTATATCTAGAATATTACATGGACCTGATGCATGACCTGTCTTTCATCCAACTGACAACTGGTATCATGTGTTTCAGAAAGAGTAAGTATGTCTGTCACGAATTGCAGCTATGGAGAATAAGGTCATACTGATAATTAGTTGATAAAACCTTCTAGTAACATGTCTCACTGATCATTAGTTGAGAAATCCTTTAATTATAATTTGTTGCAATCTATAAGTACAGTTATATATTGTCAAAAGATGGTTATATAATGTCGTCATCATTAATTATAGTTATATATTGTCGTCATCTTTTTGTCCATTGAATATTGGAATTTATGTTTTTAAACCACTTTACTATAGAACATATTTTAAGGCGCCATATTAAATATGGCTATCCATCAATATATAGTGTTTTGAATACTGAAACATATGCCCTTTAAGGAATTGTATACGTTAATATCTTACTGGTGTTAATGTTCTTTCTGTTGGCTGTGCAGCAGATATATCTGCATCTGCAAGAAAATAAAACAACAATTTGTCACCGTAAACAGTACTAAATATAGTTTGGCCTATTTGTCTAAATCAAGCTTTAATTAATTACCGTTTACAGAGAGAGCTTTGAAAAGAGATATTCTTCAAATAAAGTTATGCAAATAATTAAACTATGATCAATGTATTACAAGTTTGACAAAAGCCGAAATTTTAAACCACAGAGTAAAATTTTGTCCTTTTATTTGGATCCTGAAGTGACCCAATGTCTGTATCTCATGTATAAATAATGATGATGTCCAAAATGTAATTACTTCCTATGGTACAACATGCAGACTTAGGTGACGATACTACTTACCTATTAATAGCCCATCCACTACTTTATTTAATCCCATTTCTCTCAAGCACCCAACAAATTCCTTAAACACACCTTCTTCCTTTGTGCAAAGGACATCTATCAACCTCGATATACCTGTCTCTGAGTCGCCCACATCGCTAACCTGTTGAATTTTCTTCATTTCAAATTCTTGCACAGCACGCTTTTCAAGTAATCTTGCAGTGAGGTCTCTGCAGGATTTAGCAAGCTCGGAAATTAACAGTCGTCTGTTTCTTTGGAGTTTTAGTTTGTGATCAGCATCGTAACCTGAACATAATGAAAAGATAGGTTGTCAGAAAACAAAACATTCATCCACCAGCAACTGTTTCAAAAGGTACTATATGGGTTCTCATTGTTTGAATGGTTTGTGAATTTTTATTTTAAAATTTCTCCACAAATTTTCCTATATTTTGTCAAAGATATGATAACATTAATAAATTGTTCCAAAATACAATGCATTTATGAAAAACTTTTGCATAGTGCGTGAGCGGTATTATTCAGACTTGGTTAAAACTGCTACATGTATCTATCCACGGTAACATGCATAGTGTGTAGAACCTATCTCTAAGTATTGACTAACTGGCCTATGGGTTAGAATATCTATATATCAATTAGAAAGGGTTCATTGTGGTTACTATTCATGGAAATTCGTGAGAAATATACGTGTTGTCAGTAGTCGCTTAAACCCGTCAGTATTTGTACCGTGCGTCAGTATTCCTATAAATGGTCAGTAATAATCATAAGGTGAGTATTTAAGTCAATTGGTTAGTATTCCTTACTTGTGTCAGTATGTAAAAATAACGTGAGTAATTAAACAAACGTGAGTTAAGCCGACCATATCAAAAGCGTGACTAATTAAGAAACCGTCACTATTTGACCTCTGGGTCACTATCAGAGTGAAACCGCCAGTTATCTTTGATGTGCGTCAGTAACTGGATCCGACGCCAGTAGAGCGTGAAATCGTTAACTATATAAATTTTTGGTAAGTATTGTTAGCGAGTATCGTCGCTATATGCTGAATAAATTATTAATTAATTATTTACTAATATTCTCGAATCGGGAAATGTTTTTAAACAATAATGGATGACAGTCAACAATAGGAATATTTGTCGGCGATTTCTGCAGAATACGGCGCAATGTGTAGTGTTATTTAATTTACAATTTATATTTATTCTCGTTATATAACATGTTTTGGGACTTGCGGCACTTTGATATCTGTATGGATTAAATTTGGAATCACTGTATGGATTAAATTTGGTATGGATTAATTTTGGAATCATTGTATGGATTAAATTTGGAATCACAACTAATGGTTAAAAAAAAGATCAACACAAATCTGTTTTCACTAATTTTATTTAAACAGATAATATGATAGCAGATAACAGAAATAATGAATTTCATATACGTACATACAAGCTGAAATTCTGATCACTGAACAATCGTGTGAATATCTATATACATTATTATTGATATCTTCAGATTTGCAACATATTACAAACCGATTCCTTTTTTTTAAAAAAACATATAATTCAAACGTCAACCCGACCATTTCAAGAATAATTGTCCGTGTCAAGGCGACTGCAGTTCGATTGCTTTATTTAAAAAGATAACTGATATTAAACTATACAACTGACTGAGCTATTCAGGGTTCATATTGGAAATATTTTGGTGTCAAGGCAACTGGAGTTTAGTTGCTTTATTTAAAAAGATAACTAATATTAAACTATAAAATTGACTGAGCTATATCCGTTTGAGGTTGTTTGAGGAAAAGCAAGTTAAAGATATCGTTATGTTCTAAAAAAAATCACATAGCAACCACGCCATATAATTGTTAATTTTTGTTTAATATTTCTCTCGGTGTTATAATTTAGAACAAAAGAGAACATTCCATACATTAGTAATGTAGGTCTTGTATATTAAACTTTTATGGGAATAATTTTTTTTAATCTCACCACTTAATTAGCACCTTGGTGTTATATCAGGAGATTAAGAATGTTGATTGGGTAATCGAGTTTAGCTTCTTGATTATCAAAGAAGCTGTCACAGCTAAGCGTATATTCTGTGACTTTCGTAACAGGACTCAATTAAAATAAGGTTTTGAGTGTACGATAGGTCTACTTTTATTTTCAGGTACCGGAATGGTATCAGAATCCGAACCCCAGATAGGGTAATGAACGTAACCATGATATCACAATGGGCCGCGCCGGGTGTCTGGACCGAACATTTTAAAGTATTGTATGGGTTTTAAAACTCGTTTGTATTCGTTAAAATTGGGATTATCGGTAATTCATAAACTAGAGATTCACGGCTTCACAACGATGCCAAGTATTACTTAAGGATGCTGATCGGTCGGCACTCTGCATTATCTATTTTTGTAATATAGTTAGAATGGCCAGCTCTTTATCTAAATCTTAGTATTGAACATGCTTTACGTTTCAATATTCCAGACCCACTGGTTGATGGCTATCTTAAAATTTTGTGGTTTAGTTAACAGGAATAGAGATGAGAAGAACGAGACAGAACAGATACAGGTAGACGAGGAGAAAAAAAGCTTTTGACAGAGCGCGGCCATTGCTCCGATGATGGTAATCTTTACGAGGAAAAGATTGTCACAACAATGAAAACGCAAGAAATGAAATGAGGCTTAATGTCCTGGGCTTATGAAGACTGCCATATGCCATACAGTGTGGTGGTACTATGGCCTACTCTTATATTGAATTCCAACTGCCAATTGACCTTTTACGTGCACGCCAATGTATGCACAGGATCTTGGTTTTTTGTCGCACCCGAACGACAAGACAGCCGTCCTTGTCACGCCCTCCGTCCTTCACCACTGATAAGGGGAAACCACGCCGGAAAATCCAGATGAACTTTCGTGGCCTATGCAGGCATCGAACACGCGACCTCCTTCCTGTCTAGCGAGCCAGCGTCTTTATCTTTATCTTACCCACTTAGCCACCATGGCTCTCCGAAACATACAGGAGCGAATTTACGAACAAGTGTACGTAGAAGTAAAATGGTGATTTATTTTGTGGAAGAGTTGCAAAATTGATAACAGCTCACAGGAAACTAAAATTTTGTAATGTGGATTTGGTATCGTTTAACTATTATGCAAGAAAAGAAAATATGAATTCAAAGAACTATATCAACCTTCGTATTTTATCCGCGCCTCTCTTGCACGCGTACCAAAATGATAAATTGTGGAAACTCTCTCTCCCTCTCTGGATAGCCATAACGTGGATGGGTATGCTGTGGCGGTCTTCATTTAATTTTATGATTGGTTTTTTTGGATGGATGATGTTTTCAAAAGGTAATAAAATTAACTGCCAAACGACTCGCTGTCCAGTCAGGTAGCACATGTTTGTGCGTGGAACGTTTGGCAGCTCAATTTGTGATTTTTTGTATTTCAATCTTTAATACTTATTCTTTTAAAGTCAATAAAATAAAGTGCCAAACGAACGATTTGTTACCCCATCGGGTAGCGCATTCATGCGCAGAACGTTTGGCATTGAATATTATACCATATAATATGTTATTACTATTTTCATCGTTATAAATATTTTTTAAAAATTGTTATAAAAGCTAATTTCTCAAAGGTAAAAAGATATTCACATGACTATTCTGTGCTCATAATTTTAACCTACATGTTTGTTTCAGTAAAAGCAGTGAAAATATATTTACTTTGTTCTTTCTTAACCATTAGTTGTCATTCCAAATTGAATCCATACAGATATCAAAACATAATAATCAAGAGGCTAAACTCGATTACCCAATCAACAGTCTGAATCTCCTGATATAACACCAAGGTGCTAATTAAGTGGTGAGATTAACATTGAGATGTGGAGTAGCTCCGCCCCGTCTAGAAACTGGGCGATATGAAGGAATCCCCGTTGAGAGCCGTCTTTGTTTTTATTGTACAGATAAAGTCGAAAATGAAGAACATTGTCTTTTAGAATGCGAATTATATAGCGATTTTAGGAATGTTTTATTCACTTTTATACAGGATGTGTGTCCAAACTTTGCGTCTTTTAATAGCTCTGATAAAATGTCTTTTATTCTGTCCAGTGACGAAGTAGTTAAGTTGAGTGCCAAAACCTGCTGCGATATTTTAAAAAGACGGAGGCAAACTTTATACCCATGTTCGTGATTGGGTTCCTATTTTTAGCCTAGTGTAGATGTACATTTTAAAATTCACATTGTATGTGTGTTTTTCTGTTATTTTTATTTTACTATGCTTATTTATTTGTGTCTATATAATGTACATCTCGTCTCTCATAATTCTTAATGAATGGCAGTTTCTTTTTATTCTTAGTATATTATAATTTTTTGAATGTGATGTATTTATAACTGGTGAGACGTTAATAAACAACTACTACTTTATTCCCATAAAAGTTTAATATACAAGACCTACATTACTAATGTATAGACTATTCTCTTTCGTTCTAAATTATAACACCGAGAGAAATATTAAACAAAAATTAACTTGCTTTTCCTCAAACAACCTCAAACGGATATAGCTCAGTCAATTTTATAGTTTAATATTAGTTATCTTTTTTAAATAAAGCAACCGAACTCCAGTTGCCTTGACACCAAAATATTTCCAATATGAACCCTGAATAGCTCAGTCAACTGTATAGTTTAATATCAGTTATCTTTTTTAAATGAAGGAACCTAACTGCAGTCGCCTTGACACGGACAAATCTTGAAATGGTCGGGTTGACGTTTGAAATATATGGGGTTTTTTTTAGGTGTTTTTTTTTTATCAGGAATCGGTTTGTAATATGTTGCAAATCTGAACATACCAATAATAATGTATATAGATATTCACACGATTGTTCAGTGATCAGAATTTCAGCTAGTATGTACGTATATGAAATTCATTATTTCTGTTATCTGCTATCATATTATCTGTTTTAAATAAAATTAGTGAAAACAGATTTGTGGTGATCTTTTTTTTAACCATTAGTTGTGATTCCAAATTTAATCCATACAATGATTCCAAATTTAATCCATACAGTGATTCCAAATTTAGTTCATACAGATATCAAAGTGCCGCAAGTCCCAAAACATGTTATATAACGAGAATAAATATAAATTGTAAATTAAATAACACTACACATTGCGCCGTATTCTGCAGACTACGGCAGTAATCGAAATCGCCGACAAATATTCCTATTGTTGACTGTCATCCATTATTGTTTAAAAACATTTCCCGATTCGAGAATATTAGTAAAGTAAATAATTAATTAATAATTTATTCAGCATGTAGCAACGATACTCACTAACAATACATACTAAAAATTTATATAGTTAACGATTTCACGCTCTACTTGCGCCGGATCCAGTTACTGACGCACATCAAAGATAACTGGCGGTTTCACTCTGATAGTGACCCAGAGGTCAAATAGTGACGGTTTCGTAATTAGTCACGCTTTTGTCTATTTCTCCCGCACGCGCCTGACTAGTGATATGGTCGGCTTAACTCACGTTTGTTTAATTACTCACGTTATTTTTACATACTGACACAAGTAAGGAATACTAACCAATTGACTTAAATACTCACCTTATGATTATTACTGACCATTTATAGGAATACTGACGTACGGTACAAATACTGACGGGTTTAAGCGACTACTGACAACATGTATATTTCTCACGAATTTCCATGAATAGTAACCACAATGAACCATTTCTACTTCATATATAGATAGTCTAACACATAGGCCAGTTAGTCAATACTTAGAGATAGGTTCTACACACTATGCACCCAGCAGTGATCGCTTCCTGTACCATTGCATTATTTTATTAGTGTGTTCTTTTAAGATATCCTAGCACAAAATGGACGAAGGACACAGAGGATGATGTAAAGTTGGTTTACATCAACACTTAAACGAAACAAGAAGAACTGGGAATATAATTAAAGTTGACTTACTCTTTAATACATCAACACATCTAGGTTCACAACGTTCATCTACGTCTGACAAAGGTGTTCTACCATTACTGTCCGTACTGTTAACCGGGGAACCGGCTTCCACCAACTGTTTTATAATACCAGGCTTATTTATATCCAATCTTCCCACATTACAACTAACAGCTTCATGTATAGGTAATCTGTTGTCTTTGTCGATAGACTTGACACTGGCGCCAAGTTTGATAAGACAGGATATTGTAGCTGCCTTCCCCCTTTGGGTAGCCAAGTGTAATGGGGTGCGTCCATCTCTATTTTTGGAATTAACCTTGGCTCCTTTATCGACTAGAAATTGTATTATTTCGGTATTGTCGTAGATCGAATTACAGGCATGGTGAAGACAGCTCTCTACTGAATTGATATCTATAGCTTTGGCTAAGTGTTGTACTATCTCAATATTGTTTGATCCGACAGCAGTGAGAAAGAACTTATCAGTATCCATTCGGAATGCTGGTGCAGTGGATAATTTGCCATGTTTTTTATTACGTAGATAATCTATCTTCTCAATGGGGTCTATTGTTGAAGCAGCAGCCAGATCATAGAAATCTAATCCATCTTTTGTGCAGATGTCAAATAGTTTAATAACCCTTTTTTGGGAATGTTGTATAATTAATTGGAGGATTTCCACACAACCAAACATGCATAAATAGTGAAGGAAATGGCCCTTGTCATTGGAATCGTGGATCGTAAAATTAATTGTTAACTCGGTATTGAAAAGTAATTCGGACTTGACTTGTTTCATGAAAGCTGCTAAGAATTGGGTGTCGAGAAAAGCTTGGTGAACTAACACGTCATGGTTTTTTTTCTGCAATTCATGGACAAATCTTGAGCACAGGTGAGTGAAAAAACGAGGTTTAATCAGAACATGATATTTGGTTTCATGTACAAACGTAGTCACCATATCCATAAGCAGGTCCAAAGGACAGTGTTTTATGGCTACATCGATAAAACGGCTGGAGAGATGAAGCAGATAACTTCTTACCACCGGATCAGTTAAGGACATGCGTCCAGCATCCTCTTTTATAAAGCAACCAACAAGTGATTTACAGGAATCAATAACATCATGAATCTTTCCGGAACAGTCACCTATATCATTAAGTAGTGCTATCTGGTCCGTCATATCGCCAGCTCTAAGATCGTCTTCAATCAATGGCTGATTACTGAAGACAAGAAGTAGACTTAAATACTTCATTCTGTCTTCTTTCCAGAATATTTCAAACTCTGAATGTAAGAACTCAAATAGACTTGTTCGGAATCCTAGCGACGGTAAATGTCGTTTCCATGATGTACTGCAGATATGCGATAAGTAAGGGAATCCGACTTCCACTGAGCCAGCGCTAATCCTTTCGTACAGTTCGTGATCAATTTTATCTCCGAAATGATATCGTAAAATATCAATTTTTTCATCTTTGTTGAGCTGGAAATGGTTGTCATTCAGATGTATTCGCGTTTGGTGTGCAAAGATTTCATATGCCCGCAGAATATGATAACAATCCTGGCTGATATCATTTCTCATTGTATAAACAAGAGCTAGTTGTTTCTGCTTTATTTTCAGGTAAAGTAATTCGAAATGTTTTGGCCAATCTTGTATTTGTTGTTTCATTGTTCTTGTCCAGATACCAAACAAATCATCCACTATCAATAAGTATTTGTTTTTCTCTGAACACCAAAAGGTGTCCATATCATCAGGGCGTTTAATTATGAGAGGAATAAAGTCTTTGTTTTCTTCCAAGAAGTTGTTGGATACCATCCGCGACATTATGGTCTTGCCGTCGCCAACCGCTCCAATAATACCCAGTTTAAAATGTTTACTGAGTATCTGCTCCCCTTCTCGGCATGCACGTGTTTTGACAAAATTTCCTGAAGCCGTCACATGAAGATGGGTTTCTGCTTCAGCTAAAATTGAAAATAAATTAATATAATATTGAAATGTACCAGCTAATTATTAAATATACTATGACATAAATGCAGTGCCTACTAAGTACTTTCGGTAAGTTGATTATTAGCGAAATAAAACGTGATATCAAGTGTTCTATAAAGAGTTTACATACACTGCCTCATACATAACTTATTACACTACTTATAACTTATTTGAACTATGTCTATCACATAATATATAAATACTGATTAATATTTCCTTATAATGTATCTAGGAATAAATGTATTGGTTGATCATCATCATAATAAACTAACCTTGTAGATTATCCTGTCGACTTCCAGGTTGTGGGATAACCCTTCGGAGGTCATATATTATTTCCTCTAATGGCGCTGATGATTCTAAAAAATAAAGTCACAACTTTGTTTCACAATAAACAACGAAAAGATCAAACGAATGCCAACACAAACTGTCTTCAATACTGGTTTAACAATAGATAAGATAAGATAAGATAAGATGTTTATTGCATCAAAACGTCCATGAAGGCCAGCATGCATACATATACACTTAGACATAGTCATATACATTCAATAATAATACATATTACATAGACAACTCAATACATTCATACAAACAGTATTACATGTACAACTGTACATGTATATCAAATAGTAAGTGTAGGAGGACCGCACTACACGCAAAACAAAAATCTACAAAACAAACCTGCAAACAAGACAGAAAAGAGACAATGCACCAAATAAACAGATATCAAATCAAGTGAATGGAAGGGGTTTCAGTTACTTGTAGTTGCCACCAAATTTGATTTAGCTCTCTTATCAAAAGCCAAAAACACATATAAAGCCACTGCCTTGGCAATCAATTTTGGTGGTGTAAAGAGATTAATAAAATTGTAGGAAATCTTAGGATTTGCCGAGAAGGCTGGGTATAAATGGGCTTGGTGTATTTCTTCATATTTGCTACAGTATAGCAAAAAATGTTGCTCGTTTTCGATCAAGTTTAAATTGCAAAATTTGCATAGACGCTGATCAACAGGAATTTTTTTGTATTGGCCCCTCTCTATTTCTAAGTGATGTGTACTGAGTCTAAGTGTGGTCATAGCTTTCTTATGGTCTCTATTTTTAACCGAATATAAATAGTCTGGAGAGTTGGTAACAGTAGGTTTTGAGATGAAATATGTATGTAATTTGCTATTAATGAGAGAGAGAGAGAGAGAGAGAGAGAGAGAGAGAGTATGCAATAGTATACAAACACTTACCTTTGTATTTTGACTGGATATATTCAGCCAGTTTACCTAATTTTATATTGTTATGGTTTAAACATTCAATTAAAGTTGAAACCCATTTCAATCCTGTATCTTCTCCTCCTTTCTGGGACAATATGTCCCATAGATGACCTGCTGCAGCCGTTCTACCCCTAAGATTCATCCTTGTTCGAACCATCTCCTGTAGATACGAAATTCATTTAAAACGACTACTTAATATTCATCTTGTGGCTTCATATAATAACATTACAATCAGAACAGACAGACAGACGCTGGGGCGTTTTTCCAAATATGTGTTTTGGTTTGCCTGATCACCTTGGATACGAGCACTGCTCTTTATTTAAAGCACATGCATCAACAGATTTAATAACTTACATACTGGTACAGAATATAGTCACCCATCTTCTAAACGGTATCAGAGACTCGAATTAGTAAAAAGACCAAACTATCAGGTATTCCACATAAATGATTTTAAAACATTAAAACTACAACTTACCATTTCTGTTTCTGTGAGGATTTCCTTTGAATACAGTAAATCCATTAAAGGCAGTGGCTCAATAGAATCAATAAATCTCTTTGTAATATCATTAGTGGTGGTTTTATCATCCTGATGATCAACTGTTGCTTGGTGAGTATCAACTTCTAAATAAAGGAACAGAATGCAGGTTTCACATCTCATCAACAAAATATTTCAGTTGAAAAGATTGGAAAGTAATAAGAAACGGACATAAATAAAATAACTTTATCGAGTGAAAGACGACAATTGTCCTACATATTGATACCGGCCATTTCTATTTTTATTAATATTCAGTATTCTTTACACATGGATTAAATATTCAAATTATATTTTAATAACAACACAAGTTTTATGTTAAAATATATACTTGATATTTACCTGTTGTGGACCGGTCTGTGTTTTGATTCTGTAATACAGAATACAAGGTAGTTTAATCAAATAATTGCACTATGATTAAGAATAAGTTGCCACCACAGCATATTCTATATCTATTAGTAAGTGCAGGGGGACTGCACCACACAAAATTTACACAAAAACAAATACACGGACAGGACATCATACTCAGGAAAACACAAACATACAGACAATTTAAAAAAAGTGAATGGATCCAGTATGTAGTCAGTTATATACTTACAAGAAATGTCAAACTTGGTATGTTGAAGAAATGGAAGTTTTGAAATTTCTTTTAAAATGCGTAATTGTGTAGCGCCTTTGGCAGTGCATTTAAAGTAAAAAGATTTTATTCGGGAGAGAAATAGTTCTTTATTGTTACATATTGTCAAAAATCGTAATGTCTGTGAATAGAAAACACTATATAGCGTGGTATCTGGTATGTTACTATAGATTGACGGGTATTTTACTACACCATATTCTATATCACATGATACTATACCACATCACATTCTATATCACATCAAATTCTATATCACATCATACTCTATATCACACCATATTCTATATCACATCAAATTCTATATCACAACATACTCTATATCACACCATATTCTATATCACATCAAATTCTATATCACAACATACTCTATATCACAACATACTCTATATCACAACATCTGGCACCCTTGGGGAAATTAAACAATTCAAGATGGCCACCATGAGGCATTTTCTGGTTATTTAGTAAGGTAAAATATGTGACAGATTCTCTCAGACCTTGGTCTGAAGATGAGTTTTACAAGAATGTGATCCGCTGAATTCATTGAGCTTGGCCATTTGTCCCAAATGTGATGGCTAATTCCACTAGGGGACCAAATTTAAGATCTTGACTTATTTTGGCTGAAAACTTGCAATATATTGAAATATAGGTTTTGGTGTATTATATATCTTCAATATGTGTAGTTTTAGATATATAATACATCAAAAACCTAGATTTCAATATATTACACACCTTTTTAGGGAACTTTATAAGTTTCCTGCCAAATTAGCCACCATTTTGAATTTGGCCCCCTAGCGGAATTAGTCGTCACTTTAAATAGGAATACCAAGCTTCTTGGATTCAGCGGGGTGAATTCTTATAGAAACCATCTTGAAAGTCCAAGAGAATCTGGCACGTATTTTACCCCATTTAAAAAACAGAATATACATCATGGCGGCCATCTTGAATATTTCAATTTCCCCAAGCGTACCATGGTGGCATCATCAGGATTCTGAATCTACACATAAGGATGATATATAAGCTATCAAAATAAATTAGGTGGACTATATTTCCTGGTTTGTCGACCTGCTGCTGGACTATATTTTAACGATTTGGATATCCACCAGTGATGGGATTTTGCCCGTATATTCCGGACATGTCCAACGCTACTTTCTGAACTTCCAAAATTGTCCGACCGGGAATATGCGGAATCGGACATCAAGATATGGTGAATAATATTCAAAATTCCAAAATTAATATATTGTACTGGGTGTATAACTACCACTCAACCCGATTATCGTTAATAATAGGCTGGATTGATTAGGTAATTAAGTGATTAACGTATTTATCGTGTTATACTGTCTATACACCCACCTTGATTAACTATTTAATCTGCCATGATTGACTGGCTTAATCTTTTATCGGAAAATTCATCAATCTAATCTTAAACAGATGTCATTGCTTCTCCTTTGTCGGGCTATTCATCAATCCAATAAGAGCGATTAGAATTTTAATCACAGCATGTATAAACTAGTCTTAGGGGTCACATATCATTAGAGTACATGTATATAACACCCCAAATCAATGGATAGTCAATTTGGCTACGATATCTTTTACGTTTTTTAAGGCTCCATATAGAAATTCTCATCAACAGTGGCACTTTCCAGCGATCTCCATTGCCGAACGAAAATCGCTTACAAGCCAGTGCTTACGATGAAGCTATGTGCTTTGAGTCACGTACGCCATACGCTGAAGGAAACTTAATTAAGTAGTTACGGATCGGCAAACTTTCCTTCTATCGTATTACGAAAACACGTAATTTTATAGGAATATTACTGACAAAAATTTGAACACCACACGGGAATTAAATATGAAAAATAGCGAGGTGTTCCTATTTTAATTACGCGCGGATTTGAATATTTTGTTGACGTAAAGAAAACGATTCTTATTCCGGAAGTTCTGCATTCATTTGCTGCCGTATAAACAAAGACACGTAATGCATACTATTGTGAATTTGATGCCGAAGCAGGAGTTTGTAGGAATGTTACTGAGTTAAATTTAATTACCGTACTGGAATTAAATATGAAAAATAGCAAGGTTCACCTATTTTTATTACGTACGACATTTGAATATTTTGTTGACAAGTGATTGACACGTTCGATTGCCGAACGAAAATCGCTTACGGGACAGTGCTTACTATAAAGCTATGTGCTATGAGTCACGTACGCCATACGCTGAAGGAATGTTACTGACATATATTTGATTACATTACAGGAATTAAATATGAAAAATAGCGAGGTTCACCTATTGTTATTACGTACAGCATTTAAATATTTTGTTGACACGTGATTTTTAATTGTGGTATGAATCCGTATGTTTATATATCGATAAGAGTTATGCCCCTTTATTTTCGGTAAAATGTCCAACAAAAATTTCTTTGAAATCCCATCACTGATATCCACATATGTATACATTTGACTATACCGTAAATTCACGTCAAAATGCTAATTGTTCTTTCAAATCCAGATCCAAATTACCAAATCTAATACAACCGACCTATATACTTACATCAAGTTGATTTGTAGATAATTCTTCTGGAAGTGGAGACGTGCATGGACACGTGATCTCACGCCCACATGTCTTACATCTGGATAATTCTTCTGGAGGTGGAGACGTGCATGGACACGTGATGTCACACCCACATGTCTGACATCTGGATAATTCTTCTGGAGGTGGAGACGTGCATGGACATGTGATCTCACACCCACATGACTTACATCTGGATAATTCTTCTGGAGGTGGAGATGTGCATGGGCACGTGAAGTCACATCCACATGTCTGACATCTAGAAACCTTTTCATCAGCATCTAAACCAAATCAAACAAATCATATAGATGGTGGATTATAATACATAGTACATACTCTGATATGTATAATAATAACATCCACAAACATATCACACACTTTGTAAATAGTGCATTATAAATGGTTAGGAAATAAACACTTTCTGTTTCAAATATAGGGACATGTTATCATGCAATATAGCCTCCCCTAGCCCGCATCTCCTCTCATACTCATTGACTGACAGGGATGATGGATCTGAACCCTGGTCCAAATTGTCACGATTCGGCACTGGTGGGTACCTCTGACGGTCTTTACACCCAAGAATGTCCCAGGTGGAGCTTAATTACATTAAGGCCAGAGCTTCAACGACTAGCTTTTGTGGAACAATGATCGATGATTGTCAAGTCAAAGCTGGACACTACAGCCTTGTCCAGGACCCCTCTTTGGTGCAGTTGACCACTGAGATTACCTAGAGCTGTTACCAACTGTTACAGCCACATAGAAGGCAATCCCATATCATAATAGAGACGCCGATTTGAGCCGATTACGAACAGTTCTGTAGGATGTGTGCGGTGAGATGACCATTCCACTTTTCAACCGTCAACGCCGTGTTTTACGCAAAAACGTGACATCGCATCTTCTCTTGAAGGCGTACTGCGAGGTCCACCAGAACGTTGGTGGTTCTATCTGTCTTTAGTCGGTTGATGTTTTAACAATAATCGACTAATTGTCGAGGAATAGTGGCCTAATTTTCGTACAATCTGTCTACAGACAGAGAACACTGTGATTTTAAAACTGTCTTTAATGCAAAAACATATTTGTGGTAAACAGCTAACTAGTGTATTTAAAGTAGCTAACTCAATATTATCCAAAATCTTCGACATTGAAAACACGAATTATTTGTCAATTTAAATCAACATTGATGTTGTGATCTTACCGGGAAAAGACGGGCTTCTGGTATCCAATATTTAAGACAAAATAAGCATTTTACCATTGGTACACGAATCGTGTACCATAATGTGTTTCAGGCCCATTCTAACAAGGGACTCGAAGAACGAGGCTAGACATTCAACAAGTCATGTCAAACGGTGACGGCATATTAATATCGGGAAAGTATGCGCAATAAATACTATGTAGACTAGAATAACCAGACGCTAGAAATTTTCATTCGCCGAACCAAACTGATTTGAAATGAGAGTAAAAATGGAAACGATTGAATGTAAATCAGTATATATAAATTCCTATTACATTATTATATGCGTTACGACCCATTTGTGTCAATTTCTTGGTCTAAAATATTAGCGATTTAGCTCCTTTAAGGCTACGTTTCGAAGAGTATTCTCTCAACGTTATCAAGCTAATGGCAGTAATGCAATGACTGATTTCTCTAAAACGATCTTCGTGTTACAAACTACAATTGGTAATTTTCACTGGTATATATGTAGGACAGAAAAAATCAAAATTTTGATTTCACTTTCGCATATTCATTTACGTAATCATTTTCGTTTGAGCGCATACACATTCAGGTGTACTTTTTTCTCTGTACATACACGGTTGACTGAAAATCTGATCAAAGGGATTTTGTATTAGGATATTATAAACATTTAACGTATAATACACACCGCCTTGTCATAGATTCACCCATTCATATTGAGCAGTACGCTGTGACTCAATTCACCCCATGTGACTAATTGTTTACATCAAGAGGTTTGTTTGGCGGCTTGCGAGTGACAGATATTTTGTTTGCTTGACGAAAATTGTTGGTCTTCCGATTTTCACGAAAAGAAATAGCGATCGGCATTTTGTCATAACATAATTGTCTTGACTTCTGATAAAAACAACATAATTATTATACGCCCACGTTAAACAGGGGCGCTGTTATGTGTATTAGTCATGAATATACAGAATAGCTTTGTTAGCAACAGTCCTAAAGTTTACATTATTATTCTTAAATTGTCCTGGTTAGCACGTGTGTGCTGTATCATAAAGTCTGCCATTGAGTCTGTCATTGAGTCAAATGGCGTGGTTTCGAATCCCCGGTTGTACGTGACAAGGAGTGGGGTCGCCTGTCCAACTTCGTGGGTTTTCTCCGGGTCCTCCAGTTTCCTCCCACTGCTAAAGACCCCTACGCGCAAGCGAATTATGGAAATAAAATTGAACCATGTTAGTCCTGAAATGACCTAGTTTGTGTCGAGTGGACGTTAAACCCCATTTCTCTCTCTCTCTCTCTTAAATCGTCCATGCAAAAACATATAGTGAGTTGAAGAAATAGTAAGTTTACTAAGTAATATTATTCTTATATGGAATCTACCTACCTTTATCACTCCTTTTCTGTCTAGAAGCATCCTGGAATAAAAGGGTAATTGGAAATTTAAGGCCTGATGTGCTATTTGCATTTGTCGGTAAAATATCAAATTTCTCACGACTTAATCCCCGCTAATATACACTCAGATTGATTATTTAACATTTAATTAAGAAACCAAGATCAAAATACCAACGCTAGATAATGTCCCGGTTTGGATTCTATCATATTTAAAGATAGGTTGCCATGCAACGAAACATACGCCCACAGCAGCTAAATCATCCGGGCAGTCAACAAGTGTTGTCCCATATTTTTTTACTTTTTTTGGTAATGAAACATTTATAATACACTAAAATCTGATTAAGAGTAACAACTCATGAAGTAATTATCAATCTGAAGTCAATCAGATGATAACTTTAGCTTCTAGAATGTCACAAGTTTTTTCAAAGTGATCAAGGGCCATAAGTTTGGCAGTAATTATCGGAAATCAGTGAAAATCAATAGGATTCTTTGTCTCATGACCTCAAACACTGTGTATAAATTTAAAGTCAATCGGATATTAACTTTAACCTCAAGAGCATCCACAATATTTTTTGAAGTGATCAAGGGCAGTAATTATCGGAAATTGCTGAAAATCAATACGCTTCTTCGTCGCATGACCTCAAACACTGTGTATAAATTTAAAGTCAATCGGATATTAACTTTAACCTCAAGAGCATCCACAAGATTTTTTGAAGTGATCAAGGGCAGTAATTATCGGAAATTGCTGAAAATCAATACGCTTCTTCGTCTTATGACCGTAAACACTGCGTATAAATTTAAAGTCAATCGGATATCAACTTTGGCCTCTAGAGCGTCCACAAGATTTTTGAAGTGTTCAAGGGCCATAACTCTGGATGTAATTATTGAAAATTGCTGAAAATGAATAGACGTCTTCGTCTCATGACCTTAAACACTGTGTATAAATTTAAAGTCAATCGGATATTAACTTTGACCTCTAGAGTGTCCGCAAGATTTTTCAAAGTGATCAAGGGCCATAACTCTGGCAGTAATTATAGGAAATCGCTGAAAATCAATAGGCTTCTTCGTCTCATGACCTTAAACACTGTGCATAAATTTAAAGTCAAACGGATGTATTAAAATGAATGTATTAAAAATCTATTTAAGTCAATTGTCTTCAATGACTTACAGTTATAATAATCTTTTAGAGGCATTTAGTAACTGGATAGAGCAATACACAAAAACACCTACTTATGGAAAAAACAGCTACTTATTTATTTGGGCCACGTTTCGAAGAGTATTCTCTCAACGTTATCAAGCTAATACAGTAATGTAAGAATTATGAGATCAATATATACAGAAAAACTATAACAACAATTCATGAAACCATACAGGACAACAACAAGATCAAAGGGGTTTATTCTACAAAAAACTAATTAAGTGTTAAGTGAAGCCATTGAGTATAGTTTAAGCAATTAAGTAGCTATGATGATAGATACAATACTACCGACAGTATAGTACCTACAATACAATTATGATATACCATATTGCATTACTGTATTAGCTTGATAACGTTGGGAGAATACTCTTCGAAACGTCGCCCAAATAAATAAGTAGCTGTTTTTTCCATAAGTATGTGTTTTTGTGACTTACAGTTAGTTTAATGTTTAACGACTGTTTGCTGCGGCTATTCTAATACATTCAATATCCAAGCCATATGACGGTTTAAATGTTGGTCAAGGGCGTGCCATGTGAATAAATGTCTAAATACTAATTAATATTACATTTACAGCTAGAAAAATAGATGTAAGCAGATTGAGCTCTTGTATAATGCACATGTAATTAATAAGGGCAGATTGAGTTCTTGTATAATACAACCTTAATTAATTAACCGCTTATTACATGGAGACATTGTCGATGTCGTTGGTCGTGTTGGTATGCACCGGTTACCGTTAATTTCTAATACATATTTCAACTCAATCGGTTAAGAATTAAAGGGCCAATCTCGATGATATTTTGGAGAATAAAACTGCTTAATTTTGTGTTAAAAGCCCTTAAAATCCTCTACCTGAGGGCCGGGCAGTTAATTCAATATTACATGATACGTTTTCAAACCCATCAGTCGTCATCTGGAAATGGAGACTCAATATTTTGGGCTGAAATTTTGAGACAAGGTTAATACATCATTCCTCTATATTTTGGCTATTAAATTTCATACGTAAACAGACTTTTATTTTTGAGGCTGTTAAAATCGGGATAGTCCCTTTAAGTGAGATGTCTTGAAATTGATTTTCCATAGCTATTGTAATTGCACCCAAGATGGCCTGACAAGGACAGCTGTCTTGTCGTTCGGATGGGACGAAAAACCGACGTCCCGTGTACACATTGGAATGCACGTAAAAGATCCCTTGGCAGTTGGAATTCGATATAAGAGTAGGCCGTATGCCCGTCTTCATTAGCCCAGGTTAGGAGCAGAACAGTAGGACGTTAAACCTCATTTCATTTCTGACCCATATACGTTGTACGAGAAACAGTACAATCCAAATACTACTACTATTGCTTAACATATAAATGTATAATTCTCACCTTCAAATTAACCGGTCCCCTGGTTCTATAGGCATGACGATTTTCATCTGTTTTTGCTTGAAAAAATTGCGTAGTTCTTGCAACTGTTGATTCAACTATATCGTAAGAATATAAAAATATTTTAATAACATTATAACCACCAGGGATGTCTGGAATTTATACAGTTTACCGTGTTGTCTAAATATACAGGTTTGTAGACCAAATCAGTCAACCTGTTTAGATTATATTCATTGAAATTTTATTTCATTATTCCAGCTTAATTCTAGTTTTAACAATTTCGATTTAACTGAATGATATTGTATTTTAATTGATTCATTACGTTAGATACTAAATGTTCCTTCTAAACCAGAAGTTCTCGAATTCCTTGGGATTTTCCGGGATGGTTTTCCCTTCTCAGTGGTGCAGGATGGATGACCTTGCGATGTCTCCTCGTTCGGGTAGGATCCGCATACATATTGCTGTGCACATAAACGAAATCTTGGCTGTTAGAATTCGAAATACTGTCCTTCGAAATTTCCCCCAAAACACACTGTATTGCGTATACCCTTCTTCATTATCCCAGTTGGTACAGAGGACGTCAAACCCCATTTCATTCCTTCTCAAATCAACAATATATATTTAAACTTACATTGGGTTTCTGTATCTTCTTTCTGTTCTGGACTATAAATAGAAAATGTTACATATTAAGTATTTATTAACGTTTGTATTTTGTACTTTAATTGCACCCGGTTAAGGCTTACTAATTGATATAAACAAATTAAAAGATTACCATACGTTAATCGACAATGGTTTTGGGATCATTTACTCGAAAATATCCGACTAGGAAGAGATCGTGATGTTAAAGGAGCTAAACCTCTGTCTCATATTGTCGAAAATTTTATTTTTTACAAAAAACTGTGTAGAATGGACAAATCCGAATTAAATGATGGTCGCTCAGTTTGGAGTGTTCACGTATTACACCCATCATAATTGATTGCAAACCACTACAAATACACTTATCTTGCATTCACATGTGCGTTAAGACCCATTTGTGTATAGTTGAATGTCCTAAAGAATAGAGCCATACACCCTTTAAACATAAAACCTACCTGGACGCCATCTTTATATTTGATAAGTTTTAATTGGAAACTTTCTGAATTACACTGGTAGAAATTTGATTTCCAAGTTGAAACCTGAAACTATTGAATAATCTCACATTAACATTGATAATTACCAGTTCCTCTCCAGTCATAGGAACAAAGTTATTTTTATTTACTTTTTCTGTATATTTTGAACAATTCTATGAGTATTCCAAAACGGATTCTGCTTATCCTGCTTCGATAATATCCTGATTTATTTCATACAGAATTAACCCCATAAAATCACAAATGTAGATAGACTATTTTGTAACATAATATGCAATTTTGACTCGCACATGTAAACCATCCGGATAGAGTCGTTATCTAAAAACGACTTAAAACTATACATAAATACAGAAGGCCCCCTACCGGTATATGATCGCAAGGGGCCTATTCTGTAATAGCGTAGCATTCTTATTTCTGTTTTATAATCGCTCAATTTCACAGTTCCAATAGGATTTATACAACAAGCATAACAGAAATAAGATCATTATATGCACATTCCGGGGAATCAGTGGATGATGTAAGAGAACAGGTAGAAACAGGACTTATTGCTACTTCTGGAAAATGCTTTATAGAAACTAGACATATATTAACTTATGCTTCTTTTTCAATTTATTGGGGTTGTGGGGTAGGGCTATATTTTTCCGGAATATGTATGAAAAGTAACACCCATCATATAATCTTTATGTTTATATCTACTGGCACTGTTGCAAGTTTAGTCTTCATAGTTACTAATTTGTGTTAGTCGTTTGTCTAAAATTGAAAGTGGCCATAGTATAAAAAACGTCGACAAGGTGTTTGTACCCCGGATTATGTCTATTTACAAAATGTGGAAACACAAATACCGATTACTTCACAGTCGTATTCTGTGCTTCGGTGATGGATAGCTACAACCCGTCAGTTTATAATCATTTCGATTGGCTCAGTTTTAAAGTCTTTTCCAATATTCTTCGGTTCAAACCACCCACAGCCGTGATGTTAATTTCTTGATCGTCGCAATGAAGTAATGAATGATACGTTATACAACGTTACCATCTTTAACCCATCATCATCATGATGAAAACGATTGTTTATATTTTTGCATTTTACAAAATAGATGTTTCTGTTAGAAGGATATCATCCATTAGACTAAAACAATAATGTCAAAAACACAAAAACATAAAAAAAAAAGGCTATTGTAATTTTTTGAAAATAGAAATGATCGAAATTTTGAATCTTGTTTTAGCACAGCCAAGAACCCTCTGCGCAAGCGCAAGATTAAATAAACGGTAAGGATTGCAGCTTAAGAGGAACGAAACATCGTCAGACCAGAGACCGTTTCTTAAGTA